TCTCTCTCTCTCTCTCTCTCTCTCTCTCTCTCTCTGTGTGTGTGTGTGTGTGTGTGTGTGTGTTCCACACACAGAGAGCAACTCTCTTTCCCACACACATAGACACGCACAGAAACAGCGCAGATCTCCACAGACATGCTTTTCTCTCTCCCTCTTCCTCCCTTCCACCCGCTCTTTCTACACACACGCTTTCCTCTCCCTCCACCACATCAACACCCCCCTACACCCCCCCCCCGACGCCCCCCCCCTCGCACCGATGCTTGACTGAATCTTTCAAACAAAAACAAGCAAAAAGATAGGAGGAGAGGAGAAAGCAGCAAGGATCACGCCTTGCCATTCAGACAGCACTGACCAGACAGGCCGTGCTATTGCTCCACAGAGGGGCATGGAAAGCGACGAGGGCCAGACGGCCGTAAGCCGGAGGCAGGGGGCGAAGCGGGGGAGGGGGGGAGGGGGGGAGGGGTGTTGAATCTGGACAGAGAGTCAAGGCTTGCACCAAGCACTGTCTGTGAAATCAGCCCACGTTTCATTCTAGCACTTTGTTTATCTCCTTTGGTTATTGTATACCTTTGTGTTCTATCTCTTAACAATAAATAGATTGTATATCAAATAGTGAATAAAATCAAATATTCTATTGTACATAAATAGATTGTAAATCAAATAGTGAAATAAATTCATGATTCATGTATACATTTGAGTTCTATCTCTTTCCGAGCAAGGGTGTACCTAACGTGATTGCATCCCTCACTCATGACCTATTTCTCCACAAGTGAATGTGTGGCCATAGAGCGCGGGGGAAGAGAGCCCTAAGGGCCTCAGTTCTTTTTTCGTTTCTTGGTGTTTTTTGGGGGGACAGAGAGGGAGAGACGGAGAGACGGAGAGAGAAAAAAGAGAGAGAAAGTGTGTTGGGGAGACAGAGAGAGGGCGTTGGGGGAAGAGAGAGAGAGAGAGAGAGAGGATGATAACGACTTTGATCAAATATGCATCGGTTTGGCCACATGATTTTTTTTCCTTCTCTGATGCAGTGGGATATCATGAAGCCTCTCTCTCTCTCTCTCTCTCTCTCTCTCTCTCTCTCTCTCTCTCTCTCTCTCTCTCTCT